ACAGTGCTGATGCGCTCAATCGAGCCGCATCGCACTGTCTGCTTATTTTTTTGTTAGAACTTTATTGAAATTTGATTAAGTTCCATGGCTCACCGCGATGCGATGCGGTTGTACAGTGGCTCACTGTACAGTGGCGTACTTAAAAAAAGTACTGCATGTTAATTTTTTTTTTTTAAGTGCACACCACCAGAACGCAGTGGTGTGAACTGTCACCATCCATGACAAGGCACATTACCCAAACGCAGATGGTGTCATTGAGCCCTTAAAGGGGAAAACGTTAGCTGCAGGTAATATTCACCTGTTGGTACACTCCAAAGACATAAGGCACCCACTGGCAATCTTGCTCTGGTAAGTGGGTTTTTCTGCACTTGTGTTCCAGTTAATGTTCATTTGTCATGGCCTCACTCACCCTGTTGGTTGTTTCATTTCCTTCCAATGACCCAGTAACGAGGGCCAACACTAGTAATAGAAATACTGTATTAAAAGTAATTAATGTCGAGGTGGGAGTAGACACTCTATGGTGCCTGCTTCCAGTGACTGTGTTACTTTGCTCAAATGGCCCTTATTACAGGGTCTCTTTAAAGTGATGATTCAACTCACTATCATATACCAAAAATGGAAATACCAGTTTTAGATGGAATATGCCTTTAGTAATCAGCTCATCGGAAACACTATCAAGATAGAGGTATCTGGTATGATCAGTTCATAATACTTATTAATTTCATACAGCGGAACTTAAGCAGTACAGTGTGAGTGCTGTGCAAAAAAAGAAAGAAACGTTCCTATTGCCTTAATGCGGCACTGATCCCAGAGAAATGGCTCACAAGCCCACAGTGAGTCACTACTAGATAGAAAGACTGACGTATTTCTGTATTCCTAGCAGCACTTCATATATCCATCACCGGCACCACAAGGATCACTTAGCTTCATCAGTGCCCAGATGACACATGCCGCCTTCTGAGTCTGATCAGGCACAGGAAATGTACAGACTGAAAGTTTTTTTTCTTCTTATGCAGCAGCCGTAATGAGTGACGTTGGAGACGCTCACTTATTACCAGTTCAGAGGGGGCATCAATAGGAACTTTTTTCTATAAGTACTGAAATATATGGCTGGTGGGGGTTATGCCACCTCTTCATTAGACATCCTGTTCAAGGCTGATCATATTTTAAATGTGTAAACTATGTGACCAGCTAGTGGAGCTAGTTGCAGCTAGATTAAAAACCATAATATAGTGTAGATGTTGTGCCCTTGGGAAATTAAAGATAAGCAGCCTTCAAATGACAGGCTGTCTCCTTGGCTGATAAAAATGTAATAATACAGCCTAGACAAAGGTCTCTTTAATTCACCATTTCACAATCCTTTGTTATATTGGAACTAATTTGAAGTTGGTTGTCGAGCAAATTACCAGCAAGTGAAGTTTTAATGCAAGGAAATCTCCACTATTATTCTGCACATAATAGGCTTCCCTTGATTAATCCTGATTGGATCCGCCAGAGTTCAGTGAAGATGTTTGGGGAGACCTATGTGGGGTAATGCAGATGCGCCATGCTATGTAGCAAAGTAACCCTAAACATAAAGTAATATAGATGCTAGCACTCACAATTCTGTATTTACAGCATCAGTTTAGCTCAGTCCAATTTTAATTTTCACTAATCTAGTGCAGAAATGAACTCAGGACTGACTAGAGTGGATGAAATGTCTAGAGGCATGTTGTTTAAAGGGAAACTATAATGCTTTTGAGCCAAATTTAAGCTGGTGTACATAGAAACGGGGACAAATTTGTTGGTACCCTTCCATGAAAAAAGAACTCACAATTTTCTCTGAAATAACTTAAAGCTGACCAAAGTCATTGCCACCCGCTATTGTTTATTTCGTATTTAATAATAATTCGATTTTGATTCACAGAATATTTTCATTTATAAAACAAATACAAATGTCATGGACAAAAATGATGGGACCTTTAACTTAACATTTTGCTTCACAATCTTTAGAGGAAATCACTGCAAACAAGTGATTTCTGTAGGCTTATTGAGACTTCTGCACTAGCCTAGCCATGGTTTGAGGGGTGCCATTTCCAGACTTCATGTTGCTGCTCTGCCCATAGATGTTCTATAGGATTCTGATCAGGGCTCATAGATGGCCACATCAGAATAGTCCAGTGTTTTGTTCTCAGACAATTTTTTGAGTGCTTTATCTGAGTGTTTTGGGTCATTATCCCTGCACAGATTGAAGGCACCTGGTACCAGACACAGCAAAGCAGCCCTTAAACATAACAGCCTTCTCCATGTCTCACAGTAGGCACTTCGTTCTTTTCTTTAAAATTGTTTTCATCTTGGAACAAAGAGCTGATTTGACCAAAAAAACTGCAGTTTTGTCTCATCCATCCAAAAGGACATTCTAGCAGAAGCATCGGGGCTTGCCAATATGCATCTTAGCAAATTCGAGTCTGGCTATGTTATTTTTCTCCTTTAGCCGTGGAGTCCTCCTGGGTCTTCTTATTTTGAGCCAACCGTCTCTCAAAAAACAAGGAATGGTGTGATCAGACATTGATGTACCTTGGAGTTCAGCGTGTATCTCTTTTGAAGTTTTCCTTGCCTTTGTCTACCATTCACACTATCCTTTTGTTAAATCTGGCATTGATTTTCCTCTTGTGGCCACATCTAGGGAGGTCCCATGGACCATGAACTTCTTAATAATATTGGCAACTGTAGTCACAGGAACATTAAGCTGCTTGGAAATGGTCTTATAACCTTTACCCTTGACATTCTGGTCTAAACCTTTCTTTCTGATCTCCTCAGACAACTCTCCTCTTTGCTATCTCTGGTCCATGTTCAGTGTGGTCTCTTTTCTCTATTGAAATAGACTGAATGACTGATTACAAGACAAAAGATGTGTCGTACTAATTACAAAAAAAAAGTTAGTTTGAAATATCACTATGACACAAATCTGTTCATTTTAGAATATCTTTGTAGAATAAGCAATATTTTATGTATTTTCACACTACCTTTGCCCTACTCTATGACATACCAAAAGTATGCAGGTTAATTCCACAGCTCTTTGGTTTATCTAATCTAGAGAGAGAAAGAGTTGTATCCTTTCAAACATAATGTCTGATGATTGAAACATTGAATGGGGGATTTTGGAGAAAGGGGAAGGTGGATGAGTCACTGCTCTGACTCACTTGGGTGCAAAATTTTCAGCTTGGGCTACTGTACTTGGTAAACAGGTATTTCTAAACAAAGGGACAAAGATACTGGAAACATAAAACTAGCCTAATGCTCCATCTACTGGCTGGAAAATATATATATATATGTAAGTTTAATATTTAATATTTTTCTGATTAAATAAACTTTGTACATTCCCGTTATCTTACATTATCAACCTCTGTAGTGTCATATGGTACACATTATGAATGTATGTATTTCCCAAAAATCACATTTAAAATATAACTGCATTTTAACTCATCTCTGCAGCCTGTGGAAAGTGCCAGTATGATGGGTTACAATTATACCAGTTCATATACAACCACACTTATCTGTATACTAAACTTTCTTTTTTTAATTATAAGAAAATAATATTTTAAATAGAAATTTGTATCGGGTAAAAAGTAATATAGAAAATGTAAAAAGCAGGTTGTATGTAGAATATTTGTGGTAAGAGAAAATAAGGGAAATATACTATTGAAAAATATTAAACTGATAGACTAATCTAACTTTATATAAAAGAATGTGTGATATTATTTATTTGTAGGGCAAGTATTGTTAGATAAATATTGCTAGAGAGGAAAGTATATTTCTTAATCATATTTAATTATTAAAGATAAAAGACCGTTTCTAAGGACAGACAATCAGACTGTGTGCTAAATGAGAACTTTCTACATCCTATATGCTTTTTATAAGATTCACTGAACATTTGCAGCAAATTCAAGTCCCATTCATGCATTGTAGGGATGCACAGATACTTTTCGAGTACCAGTGCAGATACCTGGCAATTTCATGAGAACTCCCAGGGTTGCAGCGGTTGCAGCTGGGACCTGGCTCTGGCACTCCACCACTGTCCTGAAATCATTAGTCTGTATTGTTTTAGAAAAACTGTCACATGACAATAAACAAAAATGTATCAGTACTCGTACTTGTAAGTACTCAGCAAGTACCAGTACTCGTACTCGCAAAACTGGTATCTGTGCATCCCTTTATTTATATTTATAAAAACAAAATCATACATTAAAACAGAGATGTACAAATCCCAGGAGCTCCGTGTGTTCCTTACAAATGACAGCTGCCTCCTAATTTTTGAATTTTTCTCTTGTCTAGTCTTGGAGCTGGAAAAGTATCTGTACTTGTACACATACTTGTACCGAGTATGGTGCTTGGTATCTGTGCAACCCTAATGCATTGTAAAGTCATATTGGACTACATACCCAGAAGAGTTGGGAGGAGACTTCCCCAAGTTGCTGCAGAAACTTGTGTGCTGCCCCCTATTTGTCAGCACACTTTGCAGCACATGGGGATGTGGGACATTTTGATGTGGAACAGGCTGTCCTGCAGAATGGGAGACACTTTATAATGTAAATGTGGTGAATGTGCAGTTAAGGTTAGTGAATCCAGTGCCTTGGATTTACCAGAGTTTTTTTTTGTTTTTTTTTAAATGTGATCCTTGGTACTTTCCAAAGATAATGTTTCTATGTTTTGCTAGCTTACCCCATGCACATAACAGTTCTGTATGAATAGACTGCCTCATTGACTCTTCGGAGGGACTGTTGTAAAAAATGAATCTGAATGAATATGAATCTGATGTAACAAAAAACAATCCAACCACTCTATGATTCTAGTCACCATTTTGTACAATATATTCCAACATTCACCAATGTATACATAAAATATGTTCCTTTATACATTAGGATATATTATGTTTATTGGTTTGTACAATCAGAGTGTGACATAGTTGTTATTTCATTAAATAACACAATAATCAGAGAAATACTTTTTCTTGTGTGCAGGAGCAGAGTCCAGTTGCAATGTCCAGGCCTGCTGGTGCCATGCAGCAGTCTGTGCCAGGAGCCACGGCAAACCCTGGAGGACCGGGCTTCATAACCAGCCAGCCCCAAGCCGCTATGATGAAGCAGATGCTGATAGAACAGAGGGCTCAGCTACACGCCATGGAGCAGCAGAAGCAGCAGTTTCTCAGGGAGCAGAGACAGCAGCAGCAACATATACTGGCTGAGCAGGTGCAGTGATGATGACCCTGTATCTCAGTAGCTTACATACACATGTCAGGAACAATTGCTTTTCATTTGATAAATGGCACCGCATTTTTCCATTGTCCTCACATGGGGCTGCATTTCACTCACTGGCTTGACTCGTGTGTATACTAACGGCTTCTATTTTACATTATATCCTTTTCTTTTACACATGAGAGTAAAAATTACACCCTTGGGAAGGCTCCGCATCCTCTCATAACCAAGTGAAGTTAGAAACTGGATTTTAAGATCTAATATTCAAAGTTTTTTATGTTTCTATCAAAGTGTTATCAAAAATGAGGATCAACCATGACACGACTCAAGTAAAGCAGCAGTGCCCTCTAGTAGCCTCATATAGTAATTGCATGTACTATATCTTAAAGTGAGCCTGTCATGAAAGAAGTACAGGGGGCAGCCATTTCTGACTACTTTTTGAAAATGTATGTTACCTATTTGTTATCCTGAGACTCTGGCTACAGTACTTCCTGAGTCACTGAACTGGAACGAGAATGCAGATCATGAAAAGCAAAGAAAAGTCAGAAATCCTTATCGGCATAATGTATGTAAAACCAGAAGGGCAGCATGACAGCCAGACCGTCAGTGGTTTCACAAGGAGAGATTAGCAATGGCAGCCTTTGGGTTTTTCTTAAGGATGATCTCCATGAAGATAGTGGAAAATATCAATTTTGTAGCTTTGCATACAATGAAATAATGAAATCAAATGTAAACCTAAAATATCAGCTTACCAGTCCTTAGTTGTGGAAGCTGTATTAGTTTTATTTTTTTTCAGGTTTTCCCTTTTATTTTCACCTGGTGATACTGCCAGTAACACGCTTCCTGTCCTAGGGTGACAATGCTCACTCACTGTACTGTACCCATGGAGGAGTGTAGTCACCGTAGGCTGTGCTTCTGATGTGGATTACAAACACGTTCCCCTTTTCTCATCTCTGTTACAAAGGGAGGAGTTGCCTTGTAGTTCACAGAAGATAGCTGGAAAGGCTGATTACAATGTTTTATAGTTCAGTTCACAGGACATTAGAAGAACACAAGATTTCTGGCAAGAGATCCTTTAAATGCATTTGAAATGTAAATAGTGTAAGCATCTACATTTGGCTTGTAATTCACTAGAACAGTACCCAGACTTAAAGAGGGAGAGGGAGTGCTAGGAGCCAATCAGGCTTTGCTGCACGCTCATGCAGCAAAGCCTGAGAAAAGAGCAAAAGCATGACCCGATCAGTGTACTGCTCAGTGGCGTAACAATCACCATAGCGACCCAGGCGGCCGCTATAGGACCCGGGGCACAGGGGGGCCCGGCCAGGACATCCTCCTGATGCCGTGCTGGCCGCCTGGGTCGCTATGGCATTTCAGACTGCTGGCTGTCACTGGCGGTTGTGAGGAGGAACGCGCCGCTATTCACATGTGCAGCGGCGCGTTCCTCCTCACAGCTGCTGCTGAGTCGGTGACAACAAGCAGCTTCGGAGGAGGTGGCTGGGCCCGTCATCGGCAGCGATGGAGGAGGCGGGGCCCAGCGATTGAGGAGGCAGGTCTTCGCAATGGGGGAGGCGGGCCCAGCGATTGAGGAGGTGGGGCCCAGTGACGGAGGAGGCGGGGCCCACACGCGATCGTGCAGGAGAAGGAGGCGGAGGATCGGGGCAGACAGGTAAGAGGACTTGACCACCCACCTGAGACCCTGCAGAGCCCACCATAGGTACTCTATGGTGGGCTCTGCAGGGTCACCCTCAGGTGGGCTGTTTGGGTTATCAGGTGGGCTTAACTATAAATCACCGGGCCCCATAAAAAATGTTGCTATGGGACCCTGTGATTACTGGTTACGCCCCCGGTACTGCTACTGCCTCATTTCCCAATCAGCAGGCTGGAGTGCATTTTAACCAGCTGTCTTGACCAAACTGTGCTGCTGCAGTAAAGAATGGGGACCTGTGTAGTCTAGCAGGGGTGCCTAGATCATAAGCGTGGCTACACAATTACAAAGCTGTGTATTTGGTTCAGCTGTAAGTGAAAACGCAGTCCCTGAACTGTGTTTGTTCCAATATGTTCAATGTATAAATAGTCATGACTGAAATAATGTAGGTGGTAATGTTAATGTATGGCTCACACTAAATATAAACACTTCTGTGAATTGCCTGGCAAACTATATAAAACATCATCATATATTGTGACTGCTACAAAAGCAGAATTTCAGTGAAACATGGTTGACATATGCGTACATCATGATATAGAGCCTTCCTGTATCACAGCTTCTTGTTTTGGCCTAATTGGACAATGAAACAACATAAGTGCTCCCTATGCCCTTTATCTACTACACACCCCAACTTCCAAGGCCGGAAAACATTTGGGTTAGTTGTGCAATGTAGGAGTTTTTGACTGACCTGTGGCTCATAACGTTCCATAGCCAGTCTGATTTTTTAAACAATTATACTACCAGTGTTTTAATATACATTGCACTTTTTTTTAGCATTGCCTGCAGTCACCTATATTTGTTCTTTTATATAGTTAACAATATAATATTCACTCATTATTAGGTGCTGTATGTTTGACTGCTTAAAATGATCTCTTAATGAAAGCCATACAAATGAGTATGAACAATCATATTGGCAGGCCATGGTAGACCCTAGCAATACCACAAGTCATTTAAGTCCTATGTTCCACTTAACAGGTTTGGTTTAAAGGAGAACTATGAGGTGGGTGCTTTTTACTCACCTCATAGTTCTAGCCGACCTGTGACAATGAGACCGTCAGGCCTTGTTCACACCAAGCACGGAGCAGGTGCAGAGCAAAGCAGTTGCAGACCGGATCAAAACTGCGTCTAATGTATTCCTATGGTATTTTTTGCTCCAGTTCACATCGCAGCGTGCAGTTCCAGAGCAGGTCCAGAGCAGGTGAAAAAACTGCAGCAAGCCCTATTTTACCTGCTCTGGAACGCATGCAAACGCATCAAAAACACATGCAAATACCTGGAACGCACTGAAAGCCCATGTTAAACTAAAAAAAAACACATTTTTGTTTTCGGTATACCGCGAGCAGCAGCTCGCGGTATACTGCGGTGTCTCAGTATACCGCGAGCTACAGCTCGCGGTATACTGAGCCTATGGTGATGGGAGGACGCTAGTTTGTGTCCTCCCGTTACCCTAAGGAGAACTAATGGGAAAAAGCCTTAACTCCATAGTTCTCCTTTAATGCCCCCTCTCCACCAGCCATCCTGGGGGTCGGCAGTTACCCCAGCATGGTTACATGGGGACAGGAAGAGTACTCAGCCCCGTCTAAGCTTCCAACTGGAGCACCATGGATTTTACACAAGATCATCTTTCTCTGACCGTGGATGAATAAAGCAGTGAGAAAGAGAAAGAAATGTACTGCAGGGGAATGGGGCATTAAAGTTCTGCTTTGCACTGCAAAATATGGAGGTTGCTATTACTGATCTCCTTCACAAAAAAGCTATTTGCCTGGTTGTTATTGGCTACTTTTAGACATTAATGTGTTGATTAGAAAGTCAGAGTGAAGTAATTCTGTACTTGTATATTTGGTCCAGGTCAGTGATTCAGAGAATCCTAAAGCCAGCTAATATTTTCAGAAGGGCAATATAGAGATAACCCAGTTCTCCATTTACTGCCACATATGCAGTAAGAGGGAGAGAAAAGGTTTGTCCATGAATATCATGGTTTTCTGCCAATCAGCCCTTTTAAAGTGCAACTGAAGCCATTTTGTTTGTAGTTTTGGATAGGGTGGCGTGGGATTAAAACCCCTTTAAAGTTCTGTATTGCTCTCTGTTTCCACATTAGGGAGATTCTCCTTCCCTGTTTGTCCTGGTCACCGTTATTACTGATATTGACAGAAAATCATACATTTTGGGTGGTCACGAGAACAGGAGAATCTGGGAAATTTTGTAGTGACCCTCCTGACCACCAGGTATTTCCCTTACTTTAAAGTCATCACTTCCTGTTGTGGATAACGGACAGGAAGTGAAAAAAATCTCCCCAATAGGACCAAGGGCTTGGCGGTACACAGTTGACAGCTAACTCTTCCTTACTCTATTCAAAACTAAAAAATACTTCTTGGCTTCTGTTTTACTTTAAGTATAGGACAAGTCAGACTCAGAACCACAATGTGTTATCCTATTTACCATCTCTCTCTGCTTTCCACAGCAGTTACAGCAACCACACATGAATAGACAGCATCTTCAGCAACAGAGGAATCCGTACGGAGTGCAGCAAGTCAGCCAATTTCAAGGTAAGTTATAACTTCCTCTGGGCATTAGAAGTACAAAAAGTACAAACACAAAAGCTATTGTTCCTTGAGTCTATGCTGGGACATTTTATAAGTTGAATGTCCATTATCCTTTCCTCCTGTTTTGATAAACCATCCCCAGAATGAAGAGTAAAAATCTTTAGGTATTTAGTCAGTCTTAAAAATGGGAAACTTTAGGGGAATACATTCAACTGGGACTGGTGTTGGGGAGTACCGTAAGACTTTTCCTGTTTAGGGTCATGATATTTGCTATGGCATTTATACAGAAAACCTACAATGTGTAAAATGAAACTCCGGCAACAACTTTTTTTTTCTGGACAGAGGAGGACTACTGTCACATTTTGATTGCTGTCTGTGACCCCACTGGGGTGATGCACACTCACTTTCTGTCCTGAACATAAAAAGGGAAGTGAGGGAAAATCCTGTGTTTGGCTTGTCTCAAATGGTAGATTTCCATTTTTCTTCAGTTTTGGTGAAAACTGCATGTCCTAATTTTTTGTCTTGTTAACCAAGGTCATCAGGAGGAAAATGAGAGTGACTCTCTCCAGCAAGGACACAAATAATAATAAAAGAAAAACTTACAGTTACAGAGTTGTAACCCTACCTCACTGCATCCAAAACTAGAACAGAAATTTTAATTAGAGATCTATTTTAATTATCTGACAGCTCTGTATTTTGTTTGGTTTCAGAGTAAAAAGTATTGTACGTATAGTTGAAAAATGCTGTCTTATCCTTACAGTTCTCTTGCATTTTATTTCTAGTAGCATTCCCCTACAAGAAAGAGCTTAGGTTAAAGTCTATTGGTTGGCTGCATCCTTCAGCAAAGCAAAGACAGAACAGTATTAATATACCTAGCCTAGCCTGACACTGACTTCAGAGATATTACACTGCCAGAGCCATAACACCTGTACCTGCTCCCCGTGTAAGTTATCTTGACTTCATGTCGCACACATTCAGCAATCTGGAGACAGTAAAGCCAAGATTGATGCTCCTGACCTCTTAGCTGCCGAAGGGATTACTGCACAGATCAGGTCTTTCCAGCCGCTGTATAATAATAATTCATCATGTCATGATAAAGCCTGCTGCTCTACCTATATCTTCATGCCACACAGAGATGCTAGGACAGAGCCTTCAATCACCACAGTTTTATGTCTGACACATTAAACACTCTCCTACCCAACACGTATATGAAAAAGGTGAAGGAGCTGACTGTGAACAGATCACTAGAGAAATCCCACAATGCCCCCAAATTATCACTAACTTACTTTTACACAACAGCAGGAATTCATCAGTCAGTTAATTGCTAAACTGGTTGTACTGGTTTGATATATTTATATTTTTGTGTATATTGCAGGGATGAGCAATAAAAACCGATACTTGAATTAAAGGGTCAGTCCACCCAAAGCTGATTTTTCAGTGGACAGTTAAACCTCCTAACAGTTTGAGATCAGTGCACTTGAGCTACTAGGTCTGCACACCTGCTGTGGCTATTATGATTGGTTCCCACTGACCCTGTTGCATATATAATTTATTTTATATTATGGAGTACACACTGAGTGGCCAGATTATTATAACCACCTGACATTTGTAGGCAAATTAGCTATAATTAGCTATAATTTCGTGCTGTAGTTGCTAGAGGGCCAGACCATTATAAATAGGGAAGCAGGTTGTTTACCACGACAGTAGAAGTGATTTAGTAGAAGATATGGGTAAACAACGCGATTTAACAGCCTTTGACGTTGAATGATTGTTGGCGCTCGGAGCCATGGAGCGAGCATCAGCAAAACAGCAGAATTCGTTAAATGTTCAAGAGCAGCTGTTGTTAAAGTGTTTAAAGACTGGACTGTCAGCCGAAAATCTGGGTCTGAACGTGCGAATTGTGGCCTTCAGCGACTAGTCAATGTTAGGGCAGAACGGAGAGTGGCAAGACTGGTACAAGACAACAGAAGGGCAACAGTGCAGTGTCAGATTCCTTTCAACATCTCGTGGAGTCACGAGGCGGCCCAACAAAGTCATCTGGTGGAGTCATCTCGTGGCCCAACGAAGTACTGATGGGGTTGTCATAATAATCTGGCCACTCAGTGTATACCAGTTACAAACACACAAGGTTTGACAGAAACACTGAAACTCCCAGCTGTAGAGAAACAAAGTTTATAGTTATGGCAAGGAAATCTTTTTAAAGAATTATCCATGACACATAACAACCCAAGGGTTGACTTATACAGAGCATGTGGCTAAAATCCACTGTTTGTTTGCACCCCATGAAAGCATACAATACAAAACCGGTTAAAATATGACTCTGCAAATCCTGCAGATTCCAACCTACGTCAGAACTGAGAGATGCAGTGGGTGTCTAGCTGTGTTTCTTCAAAGTTAACTGTTTGAGCCCTTAGATATAAATGCTAGTCAGAATACTTACAGAAAACATTTCCTTCCAAAATCTGGTTTTGTGTATACATCTTCTCAATATGGTAGCCATTAAGCAATTTTGTCACTGGGGATTCGGAGGGCAAACTGCTCCATGTATGAAGTGCAGGCACCTGCACATACCTCCATAACCTTTCAATCATGACCGTATCTTAAGCCATTCTGACAGGCAAAACTTGAGCATTTCCCAATAGTTTAAAACTTGCCCTTCCTATTTTACTTTCTGCACAGTCTTGCTGGCCAAAGGATGTCTATCATAATGATATGACAATAGGAATGTGTGGTAAGCAGGGCTTAGCTGCAAGCTCTGACATTACCTTGAAGTGTTGGAACTTGTCTTTGTTAGAACCATCTGGACTTTGGCCATGGCTGGGTGGTTTGGGAGGTTCCTCTAGGTCAGTGGTTCTCAACCTGTGTAACCTCAGGACCCACATTTGTCCTTGGTCATTAAGTCGCTACCCAAGTCGTACTGCAATGGAGCTCACGGCATTGCGGTACCACGCGTTCTGGTGATTGAACTGTGGGTGGGAGGTGTGTTTGGTGTACCATTCAAACGAATGGCAATGCAACGCACGTCCCACACCAGAACACGTCGTAGGAGCGATTGCGTGGTACCATGTGTTAATTGCACAGGACTGGTCGATGAGCGCACTGTGCTAGTGTGGAGGGGCCCTCAAAAACACTAACCTACACACAAACAACCACAGACACAATCTCAACCACACATATACGTCTCCCTACCTTAGTTTCACTCCAGAACTGGAGTGGATCCTTAGCCTGGGGTCCAGTGTTGGCTTATGTGCTGTGATGGAGCTCCATCCATATGTGCATTGCTTGTACAGCTCCCTTGCAAACTCTGTAGAGGTGCCGGGAGCCAGAATGTGACGTCACTCCGGTCAAGGCACGTCCACAGAACACATGAGGGAGCTGTAAGCAATGTATGTATGGAGCTTCCTCGTAGCTATAGCTCCAGCCCACCCCACCTCAACCTGACACTCAGCGTCGAGCAGCTTATGAATGGCTGCCTGGCACAAGAAATGACAGTGCTGCGCTGGGGGGAAGCTGAGGAGCCTCTCGCCTACAAAGGTAGAAGGTATGTGGCGACCCACTAAACTCTAGGTCGCGACCCACTTTTGGGTCACGACCCACAAGTTGAGAACCAAGGCTCTAGGTACCTGTAAACTGTAACTGCAGAAGTTTGCCTTCCCTCTGGTCAGAAGCTTTTTAATGGCATGCATGTAAGTTTCATTTAAATTGACCACACATGTAAAGAGAAATATGATCCAATTTATATCAATGCTTCTAAATAATTCGGACAGTGTTTGTTTGCAGAACAATCTCACAGGGTGCACAAATCCAAATAGAATAATGTGAGCTCATCCTAAGGATGAGATTGGTCTTCATCTTAATGCTGCTTCAAAATAGGCAAGAACGGAGAGATATGCTGGTATTACAACAATCAATAAACCCGGTCACTGAGACCCTCCTATAGATTTCAGCTGATTCTGTATTGAACAAGGTTAAACATGTCTGACTACACATCATAAGGCTGGCACAGCAGGCAATTTTCCTATTATATTGATTTTTACCTTCCCCTTCCTCCTTGACTGTTAAGACATCTTGCACTTCAGATTAATGGTCTCACTGTTATTCAGAATTCAGTGTACTCTCTCATATGGTGTTATTGATAGAACATTGATTAGTAGTCATGCAATGACATTTCAATAGTCCTGCATTTGCAGGATTCCAATGCTTAATTCAGTAAAGTGAGTTAAAAATAATGTTGATATACATAAAGCAATGCAAATGTTTCATGTCTTCTTTGATTCTTCTTTATACAGGGTCGCCACAAGACATTGCAGTTGCTCGAAACCAAGCAGCACTTCAGAATATGAGAGCATCTCGGATGATGGCCCAGAACACTGGTATGATGCCCATGGGTCCTTCACAAAACCCAGGAACAATGCCCTCCGGCCCTCTCCAGCCTGAGTTGGGAATGGCTCCCTATAGCAACACATCATCAAGTCAGCCGGGAATCTATGCCATGAACGCAGGAGTAAACCAAATAATGCAGCACCCAAACCAAAACTTAAGCATGGGCCATGGTGCTGTGCAGGGTCCACGGCAACCCAGTTCTGGGCAAGCATTGGGCATGGTTGGGGGATTTAGTCAGAATATGCTTGTAAACTCTGTGATGCCACAACATCAACAAATGAAAGGACCTGTTGGTCAACCCATGACCAGATCTCAGGCTCCAAGACTTCAAAACATGATGACATCGTTACCGCAGAGTGCACAAAATTGGACCCAACGTGGATTACAAGGCATGAGAACTAGCGGTGATATGGGGGCTTATAACAATGGATCTGTTTATTCAATGCAGCCTGGACAGTCAAGGATAAGCAAACAGCATTTTCAGCAAGGGATGGGCCAGACTGTTGTTGACAGTACGGGAGCAGTAAGAGCCCTAAACCCTGCAATGAGCAGACAGATGATGCCATCATTACCTGGGCAAGGCACCAATCAGCAAAGACAAATGATACCTGGCATGAACCCTGGAGTCCCTAACATGACAGGATTTAATCAGGCTCCACCACAGCAATTATCCACTGCAAACTTTCCTCAGAGTAACCAGAGTCAGGCATATGACAGGAATCAAGACATGTCATACAGCTACACAGATTCCAGCACTGGACCCTTTCCAGGTCTACCAGATGGCACAGACCTTGTAGACTCAATTATGAGCAGGGGGCCAGGAGATGAGTGGATGCAGGAACTTGATGAGTTATTTGGAAATCAGTAAAAAAAAAAATCTGAACAATTAAATACGAAAAATGTTAATGTGCTAAAGGAAAAGGACAGCACCCCATCCATATCTTTTGTGTGTAGATGAGCTCAACTGCGGGCAGTTACAGAAGCATTTGGTGGGAAAACAATGCTGTTCAGGTGGGGAGAAGGTTGTCTTATAGTCAGTAGCTTGAGATGGTAGATGTTCATGGTAACGGTGATGTGAAAGCAGTTGGTTTATCCCATTATCATTGACTTAGATTCATGCATTACATACAAGGAGCAGAGCCCGGAGAGGCTAAATATGTGCATGGTTACCCACAAGGTTGATATGGGTCTTACCAAGGGAGCAGACACTTCCATTTGGAGTAAATTAACTTATTTGCTTTTGAAAATATATATGGCTAACGGGTTTAGCCATCAGATATCTTGCTTTAAAATCAGACAGGGAGGCAGAGTTACGAAGTGCCACATTTCTACATTGGAGTACAAGACAGGAAACAGTATATATA